CCTGTCCATTTTTTGGTGGAAGCATAGAACCAAAATCCAGCAATCGAAAATGAAGATTCATCCTTACATGAAAATGGCACCTGTGATATTTAGTCTACTCTTCAGAAGAAGCTTGCATTCATCATCAAAAAGAACATTTCAAGACCTATCCTGAAGTACAAGGCTGTCAGTGATAACTGCTATACGCCTACAAGGAAGACCAGTTAATATGACTATTATTCAATTTACGCACCAACCACTAAGGTCAAAGATGAAGAAATTGAAGATTTTTACTAACTTCTGCAGTCTCAAATTGATCGAATGCAATCAGGATGCATTGATAAATACTGGTGATTGGAATGCTTAAGTTGGAAACAAAGGAGGAGGATCGGTAACTGGAAAATACGGCCTTGGTCACAGAAATGATGCTGGAGATCACATGACAGAATTTTGCAAGACCAACGACTTCTTCATTGCAAATATCTTTTTTCACCAACATAAACAGTGACTATATACATGCACCTTGCCAGATGGAATACACAGGAAATCAAATCGATTACATCTGTGGAAAGAGACGATGGAGAAGTTCAGTATCATCAGTTAGAACAAGGCCAGGGGCCAACTGCGGAACACACCATCAACTGCTCATACGCAAGCTCAAGCTGAAACTGAAGAAAATTAGAACAAGTTCACGAAAGCCTAAGTATGACCTTGAGTATATCCCACCTGAATTTAGAGACCATCTCAAGAATAGATTTGACGCATTAAACACTAACGACCGAAGACCAGACGAATTGTGGAATGACATCAAGGACATTACATGAAGAAAGCAAGAGGTCACAAAAAAGACAGGAAAGAAACGACCAAAATGGACGTCAGAAAAGACTCTGAAACTTGCTCTTGAAAGTCGAGTAGCTAAAACAAAAGAAAGAAATGATAAAGTAAAAGAACTGAACACAAGATTTCAAAGGGTGGCTTGAGAAGAGAAAGTAAAGTAATATAATGACACGTGCGAAGAGCTGCAGATAGAAAACCAAAAGGGAAGGACACGTTCGGCATTTCTTAAGCTCAAAGAACTGAAGAAAGAATTCAAGCCTCAAGTTGCAATAGTGAAGGATTCTATGAGGAAAATATTAAACGATGCAGGAAGCATCAAAAGAAGATGGAAGGAATACACAGAGTCATTATACCAAAAAGAATTGGTCGATGTTCAACCATTTCAAGAGGTAGCATGTGATCAGGAACCGATGGTACTGAAGGAAGAAGTCCAAGTTGCACTGAAGGCACTGGCAAAAACAAGGCTCCAGGAATTGATGGAATATCAATTGAGATGATTCAACAAACGGGTGCAGCGCTGGAAGTGCTCACTTGTCTATGCCAAGAAATTTGGAAGACAGCTACCTGGCCAACCAACTGGAAGAGATGTCTATTCCCAAGAAAGGTGCTCCAACAGAATGTGGAAATTATCGAACAATATCAATATCACATGCAAGTAAAATTTTGCTGAAAATCATTCAAAAGCAGCTGCAGCAGTATATTGACAGGGAACTGCCAGAAATTCAGGCTGGATTCAGAAGCGGATATGGAACCAGGGATATCATTGCTGATGTCAGATGGATCCTGGCTGAAAGCAGAGAATACCAGAAAGTGTCTACCTGTGTTTTATCGACTATGCAAAGGCACTCGACTGTGTGGATCATAACAAACTATGGATAAAACTGAGAAGAAGGGGAATTCCAGAACACTTAATTGTGCTCATGAGGAACCTACACATAGATCAAGAGGCAGTTGTTCAGACAGAACAAGGGGATACTGCGTGGTTTAAGGTCAGGAAAGGTGTGCATCAGGGTTGTATCCTTTCACCATACTTATTCAATTTGTATGCTGAGCAAATAATCCGAAAAGCTGGACTATATGAAGAACGGGGCATCAGGATTGGAGGAAGACTCATTAACAACCTGCGTTATGCAGATGACACAACCTTGCTTGCTAAACTTGAAGCACTTACTGATGAAGATCAAAGACCACAGCCTTCAGTATGGACTACCCTCAACATAAAGAAAACAAATATCCTCACAACCTGACCAATAAGCAACATTATGATTAACGGAGAAAAGACTGAAGTTGTCAAGGATTTCATTTTACTTCGATCCACAATCAACACCCATGGAAGCAGCAGTCAAGAAATCAAAAGACGCATTGCACCGGGCAAATCTGCCGCAAAAGACCTCTTTAAGGTGTTGAAAAGCAAAGATGTCACCTTGAAGACTAAAGTGCGCCTGACGCAAGCCATGGTATTTTCAATCCTATCATATGCATGGGAAAGATGGATAATAAATAAGGAAGACTGAAGAGAGGAACTGATGTCTTTGAACTGTGGTGCTGGTGAAGAATATTGAATATACCATGGACTGCCAAAAGAATGAACAAATCTGTCTTGGAAGAAGTACAACCAGAATGCTCCTGAGAAGCAAGGATGGAGAGACTACGTCTCACGTACTTTAGATATGTTATCAGGAGGGATCAGTCCCTGGAGGAGGACATCATGCTTGGTAAAGTATAGGGTCAGCAAAAAAAAGGAAGACTCTCAATGAGATGGACTGACACAGTGGCTGCAACAAGCGGCTCAAGCATAACAATAACTGACAGCATGGCACAGGACCAGGCAGGTTTCGTTCTGTGGTACACAGGGTCGCTATGAGTCGGAACTGACTCAACAGCACCTAACAACAACATTCAGAAGAATGTAAAAGCTTGCTCCAACAATTAGTAACAAAGACAAAAACATTTAAAAGTCAGAGAAAAAAACTAAAATTCTTTTAAAAATAGTGTTTTAATCGCCATCAGGATTAGTTTGCCTATAATCCATCAGATTTTTTTTTCTTTGCACTTACGTGGATGACCTGCATAAAAGGGTTATTCCCGGAAAAATTAAAGCAAAATAAGACACATATAGTGAGAAAAAAATGTAAAGAAAACATTTTTGTTCTGCTTGTGTTTTTTATCCACTTGATGATCCACATATAATTTTATAAAATAAGCCACATTTTATATTTTGCAGTTTCAATACAGCCAAGGCTATTACAGAAAACTTACTATGATTAAGAATTGTACATAACCTACAAGTCCCCTGACTGTTACTAAAATTTCCTCTGAGATGATTTCCAAAATAAATCAGGTCAGATATAACCCTCAAATGGTTTTAAAAATAAAAACTGACAAGAACTAACCCCTGACAAGTCAAAAATTTTTCTTGGCTACAATTAAAAAGAAAAGGTTGAAATAGATAAGCCTAGGTAGTCTCTGAAAGAATTCTTATGAACATAATTTGAAGTTAAACCAGTAGTACACATGGTTTCTTATAAACAATAAGGTTAATTTAATTATTTAGAATGTGAATATTTTGAGCTCTTAAAAAATATGAGAAAAGTAGGAAGGATGATTTAAAAAATTCTAAGTTATGACTGAACTTGGGAAAGAAAATAGCATTTATAAGGAACAACAAGCTTAAAAGGTACAAAACTGCAATCTCCCTCCCATGCTCCACATCGAGGTCTTCAGGTCCTCATCATCTCCGGGCAGGTTTACTGCAAACGCACCATCCTAACCGGCTCCCTGCTTCTGGTCTCGCCTCCCACCACTCTGGCCTACACACGCTGTCAGTTCGTTGATCTGCCTAACGTGTAGCTCTGATTATCCCTCCTTTGCTTAGAAGGGCAAGCTGCTAGCTTGATGTTCAAGGTGCTTTGTAAGACGGCACCACACTCACCTTTCCAGCTTCATTTCACCTGACTTTTGCTACATATTACCTATGTGACAGTCATCCGGAACAGACTGCTACTCCATGAAATGGCTCATACTCTCCTGATCCCGCTCCTTCGGCCATTCTGTTCCCTCTGGCTGAAACTTTCTTTCTCTTTCCTGTTACAATCCTACCCAACTTTCACAGCTCTCCTCAAATGCCACCTCCCTATGAGATCTTTTATTCCCAGTGGCTATGATCCTCTCTGCTTTGGTACCTCAGTACCTTCAAATGTCTCTAAGGGCACTAATATTCCATCTGATATCATAATAACTCATCATCCTACGACAAGACTGTAAACTATCTGAGGTAGAAACCATCTAATTCATTCTCTGTCCCCTGAAGCAACTGGCATAGTGCCTTACACATCACCCAAGTATGTACTGAGCTAAACTGTATTGGATTCTGCTCCAAGAAAGTCACTGGAAGGAAAACACTTCTAGCACAGATTGAAAATTAAAAGGCTTGGGATAGCATTTAGAAAAAAAAGCCTCAGAACATGTAAAATGTATAACCAATGACAAAAATATTTTACTTTTGTAGGACTAAGACCTATAGGCTTCTGTAAAGTCATAATGGAAAAAAACACAAAAGACTTCTCTCTGTCCAGGTAAATAACAAATGAACTAAAAAAGAGTAACCTTTAAAAATAAACTCAATCATTTTTCCCCAGTCAAGCTGTAGAAAGCAATACAAGAAATGTTAAAATTCTGTCAAAATAAAATCATAAATAGTTCTAATAGGTTACATGCAGTTAGCTCAAGAAAAAAGTTTAGAATAATTCCTTCTTAAAAGAAGCAAATAATTCCTTCTTCTGTGAATTTTCTCCCAAGTAATAGGGAGCCAAGCTAAAAATCACTAGCTTCTCTTTAACCACAGGCTCCAAAAATGAGTAAATGAATGAATAAATGAATGGAGTTAATAAGACTTGATTCAGAGTTCACCATATGCCTGTATTTCTCAAAATATTTGTGGAGAACGACTAGTTTTTTAAAATGTCGTTATCTGTTGCAGACTGATGCTCTTATAAAATACAATGCATTATAAAAAAAAAAAAGTTGCAGCAACGTCTAAAGGTTGACACAGGCTTTCCGTACTTAATTTGTCATGGACGAATAACAAAGTTCGCAAATGGGCCTAGTCTGCTTTAAGCTTTTCCCTGAACCTGCACACATTCAACATGCTACCAAATGACGGGAAAGGTAGGATACATGCCTACCTTCTGCTCTTGCACCTCAAACACTGCTTCATGGACACTGCAAGCAAAAAGTGAGGTAGGCAGGTCACTTAAATCCATCATCTCTTCTAAATCATCTTCATTTTCACCAAAAATCATCTCTTCTTCCTCTTCTTGGTCACTGCTACAGAGATCTGAGTGGTTATCATTCCAAGATTTCATAGTGTCTCTTAGCATTATCCCCTATAAAGCAGCTCTTTTCCGTTTTTCAAGTTCTAGGATGTCTGCCAGGCACCTACTGTTAACAAAACAAAACACAGAGATAAGGTTTTGATGGCCAAACAATGTTCCAATCAATCAAGTTCTCAAGACAGCAATTCATCAGGTGAAGCAATTTTATTCAGGAAAGATAAATCAGCATTTAAATTAACTCCTTACAGTTCTCATAAATGAATTCTATACATACTAATTTGATTTGCTTAGTATATTTTACATAATACAATTCACTGGCAATAATATATTTTTTAAAAGGCAAAAAGTTTTCTAGTGAAATTGGGAAAAAAAAAAGATAATACAAAATGAGACAATATCAATATGTACACTAGTTTACTGGTTGTAGGAAGAAAAATGTGAACCAGAACTGCCTTCACATATTTGTTTTGGGTTTTAGGATACAACACTGAAACTGGCACAGAGAATAAAACCCACACTGATTCACTCACCATCTGCGCCCTGAAATATGGTCTGTGATGAGCTGACTTTACTGTTCTTAAGCAGTTTTGTTCACTTTGTATATACTCTGAAAGAATTAAGTCACACAGAACCAAAAGCTGTATATACAGTCTTTGTTAATATTACAAATATTTACAGTAGGCAAAATTTACATAGAAGACAATCAAAAAGGTGTCCTTTTCTGACCATTAAAAATCACTAATTTTAACCCTAAGGCATGGAGCTGACAGTGCCCCTCTTGATATAAAGGAACAGTCAGTCTGTCTTCTATGGGCTATTTGTGTGCATGTCTGTCTCCTCCACTAAATTGCACACCACACCCACCAAGCAGAGTATCTTAAATGTAACACACTTCAAGGTGCTGAAATGAATTTAAGAAATATCTATCAGGCCCAGAAAAATTAAGTGATCATGACTACCTCCGAATTACATAATTTATGATTTTCCCTTTTATTTCAAAGAACACAAAGCTGCAAATATACTGCTTATATAGAGAGCATTACAGAATGACAATTATAGGATAAAACTGGTTGTGTGTGTGTGTGTGTTTTCCATTATTATACCAATCAGGGTAGAGACTAATTCTAAAAAGCAAAATCTTTACTCGTTTTAATCAACACTTTCTGAAAGCCTGCTGCATGTTAGATACTGGGGGATTCTAGATGAATAAAACATGGTTCTCACCCTCAAGCAGCTCCCACCAAAGCAATAATTTCTCCTCCTCTACAACCATTTCACTCTCCTAAATGATCTTGCCCCATTAACTGCTCCTATACCTTCAATTTTTCCTTCTCCACGTTTTCTTTCCCTCAGCCAACATATATATTCAAGACCCACCTCTATCTTAAAAAAGAACACCTTCCATTGGGATTATCTTTCCCCTCAATCTACCTCTGTCTGTCTCTCTCCTTCACCTTTCCCACCAACTTACTTGAAACAGTCACCTATATTTGCTGTGTTCACTTCCTCAATTCCAGTCACTCCTGCATTCAGTGCGGTTGGGCTTCCGCCACAACTGTTTGGTTGACACTGCTCTTCATGAGGATGCAATGGTTTCCTAAAATTGGAACCTAATTTCAGGTCTCAGCCTATCCCTGTAGCACACCACCTTGCTGCCCATCCTATTCATTCTCAGCCCTCTCTGTGGCCCTGCCTTCTGGGTCTTGGTCTTTCCTGGCTTCCTTTCTCACCAACTCTGTCTTGTTCACTGGTTCCTCTTTCTCTACTCACCCTTTATAACTTAAGTCTCTTTGAGGTTTCATTCCCATCCTCTTTTCCTCATCTTATTCTTCCTGGCTAATTTTATCCACACCCAAACATTTAACTACTTAACTATCAGTGGTCTCAATCTTTTCCCCTGCTTCCCTGCTGTAAACACATACATGTGTGTATCAATACTGTCTCTCATTTCATACAATGATTCTTAAGCTGGGAAGGATGTCACTGAAGTTGAGGGGGAAGCAGAGTAGAATCTTGGGGAATAAAGGGAAGGGTAGGTTTGGAAAAGGTACCATTTCCCCAAGAGATTCTGATCTGTCCCTCAGTCTTTTGTGCTTACACACCCTGAAATTTACTAATCTGTGTGACTACGTTCAAATATATATACCCAGACTCATCTTTAAGTTCTGCACTTGTATTTTTAGCTTTCTAATGAACATATCTACCTGGGAAGTCCACAGGTACATTTAAAAAAAAAAAATTATTCCTTTAATTATTGTGCCAGAAATCTCCAATCTGGAAGGAGGATGGGGGGGTGGGGATGGCTTTCATTGTAATCTTTTCTTCAAGACTAAGCTGTCAGGTGGTGTTTAGCTCTCACAGGACTTTGTTCATTTCTCTGTTATATATTTATATTACGATCATTTGTTTATAAATCTTTCCTAGCTACCAGGGTGCTTTTAAATCCATGGTCCCTGGCATAGTTTCTAATATATGCTTAATAAGGATATTATTAATATTGCTGAATGAAAGCAGACAGCATTGTGTTTTCACCACTGATAGGGCAGCACAAAGGAAAATTTATTTCTGCATGGGATTAGAGAGAGCTTCCCAAAGGAGGGTATGGTGGGACAACAGAATTTCAGCAGAAGAAAGTGGGATATGTTCCAGGCAAAGCTAACAGTACATGAACAAAGGTAGAAAGACAGAAGGATAAGCACGCACAAAGATCACGTGATCTGTCTGGCTGGAGGGTAAGATGTTTGGTGTGGGTGGCATATGACAGAGTTAGAAAGGCAGGCAGGCATAGGTAGCTTGCTTTGAAAGTAGGGTTACAGAGTTTTGACATAAAAATCAGTCAATATCAGCATGCCATTGAAAGTTTTAGGCAAGGGAATGATATAACTAACCCAATTTAATTTTCAGTATCAGTAAAAGTGGGTTGTCTTTATATCTTATCTCTTGGAGCACTAATGTTTTTATCCCCTCCAACCAACCCATTAAGAGGTGAGGAAAATACTGTGCCTAATTTTTAGGAGAGCTGGGGAGCTCTGAATGGCTAGATCGTAAAACTTGAGAGAGTCAACCTATTTCTGATATGATTTTTTGGTTTCAAGCCCCTTCCTCCAACTCCTAAAAAGGAAGGGGGGAAAAAAAATCAGAGCACAAGAAACAATCCTTCACTTGACTTAAAAAAATAAAATTCTTAGAATGCTATACCTTCACTTCCTGTTTTCTCCTTTCATTTTTGGGTAGCTTTTGATATAATTTCAAACAGAAAAGTTGTAAGAATAGTACAAGGAACTCTGTATATCCTTTACCCAGAGTTATCAAATACTTAAATTTTGCCCATTCTATTTTTATACTTGTTTTTTAACCACTTGAGAGTAAGCTGGAGATAGTATACCTCTTTACTCCCAAATACTTCAGTATGTAATAACAAGATCATTTTCTTACATAACCACAGCACAGTGATCAAAACCAGGAAATTTAACATCCAATACCATTATCTAACCAACATTTGACTACATCTAATACAAATCTGACTAGATTCAAATTTTGTCATTTATTCTAGTAATGTCCTTTATGGCTGCCTTATCTTTAATCATTTTAGAATATTGTTAAAATACTTGCCTTTTGCCTCAAAATATTTCAATAAGCATTAGACTATAGCATCACTACCTTTTCTTCATTTACACATTGTCTATTCGATATACTTTAAAGGGATGGATTGCTGAAATATCACAGTAACTACAAATATGTTCGAATAGTCCTTGAGTATACCCCACAAAGATTCAGGCTCCATAAGAGACTTTACAGATTTGAATTGTCTGCCCTACTACTCTATGTTAAAGAAATTACCTAACCTCTAAGTCTTCCTGTTTCCTCAACTATAAAATGGGGGATAATAATACTACTTCCCAATAAGGATGTTAAGAGGATTAAATGACAAAATACACGCTAAGTACTCACAATAATGCTTTGCGTGAACTCGGTGCTCCAACTGTTAATTATTTTTTACATAGCATGATCTACAACAATGCTTTGTTGGGTTGAATGAAGCTCAATAATATCAGAGCTATTGGCTGAACGGATGTTAAAACAATAAAATGAGAAAATGCATCCCGAAATTATCCGATTTTAAGCAGCAAAAGGGCAACAAAAATAAAACTAACACTTTGTGTCACTTCAAGAAAACTATTCAGTAGCAGACATATCAATAAGATAGGATCCAAAGCAACCACAGGAGGCAGCAATATGGCTTCCATATGAAAACATTTCAAGATTTAAATATAGATATTTAAATAGATTGAGCTAGCTGAATAAAGGCTAAAAGCCACATGCCTTTTTATGGGCCTTATGGAATTTTATGTTGTAATGCAGTGCATACTTTATTACAGACATTAAAATTCAGACGATGGTACTCTTGCTAAAGACAAGCAACTAAATTTTTTTTAAATTTGAACACAGAGATATGATAAACATCAACCAGTGGAAATGACAATCACAGCACACTTGTAAGGAAGCTAGATTGGCATTTCAAAGGTAACTCAGTTTTACCAGCGCAAAGGAAAAAAAATTACAAAAGTACACTGATCCTGTGTAGTTATTATTACTGGAGTTCTTGCTAGCCCACCTGGCCCGGAATATTGTAACAAGACTGAACTGTGTCACTAACCCACGGAAATACTGACTCGTTCAGCAGAAAGGGCTGAACCAATAACCTCCAGCTTCTGTAAGCAAAGGTCTGTGCTAATCAGGGTTCAGCATCATCTCCAGCACAACTGTAGCTGTGGCTGGCTTCTGGCAAATTGTTTCTTCATGGAAACATCAAATGAGTGGAAAAACTCCAAGTAGCAATGACCATCTGCTCTGCTACAATAAGCCTTGTGACGAAAGTAATCCATCAAGGCAAATGTCAGGCACATGGAGTTGACTCTGCATTTTAAGTTCTGATCAGGAAAAGGTAGACTCCTCCTCCAGTTTTTTTCTTTAAATAAATTTTCAAAATAATATGCTTCTAAACTTGGTACATAGAGTGACTGTGAGTCGGAACCGACTTGATGGCACCTAACAACAACAAACCTGGTAAACATTTTCAAATCCCAAACAGTACTTCAATACCTTATCTGAATGCATCTTATTATTTCCTGATGTGTTCAAAATGCTACCGAACAATCCTGGAAGTAAATGATTATTTCATCTCCACTTTGCAAGTGTCTTGCTGGATGACCTTGGAAAAGTCACTGGCTTCTCCGTGTTTGTTCCCTTGCACATAAAGGAAAATACTCACAGATACTGTTGAACTGCCAAATTCCTTTAAAAATTTTTCTAAATTATAGACTAAATTTCTCTTTTTAAAAAATCCAGGATTGTCAATGTTGGGGGTTTTGAATGGCTAACATGCAAGCCGCTAGCTTCTACTCCCTCATTTCACCACTTAAAGGTAGAATTTTACTATTTCTTAGTAGCTCTGGTAAAAAGTTTGGTGTCAACAGTCAAGTAAAACAGGTGAAAATTAGATTTTTGTATTCTCCGTGTGTTTTAATGACCTATTTCCTATTTTCACGGATAATCTAGAATTGGTCCTATTATAATTACTGAGATCCAGTGACTCACCAGCAATAGCATTTGTTAGCATGAGAAAGATAAAAGAAACAAACACCAAATCCACTGTCAGAACATAGGAAAATAATAAGCTTTAAAGAATAACTGAAGTAGAGATGGAAAAAAATAAACAGAAGAGTTGCCATGGAGTTGATTCCGACTCATGGCAAACCTTTTGGAAGCAAACTGCCAGGCCTTTCCTCCAAGGTCCTTCTGGGTGGGTTCAATATGCCACCCTTTAACCATTTGTGCCACTCAGGGACTCCAGAAATATAAAAGATTGATACTATTTGTTTTGCTGTATATCATTTATTTTCCCTCAACATAGCCTCTAAATTCCAGGGGGAAAGTGGAGATCCACCGTCTGACCTCCACCTTCCGTGATTTTTTTTCAGGTCTACTAACACATGGTATTCAACTTTAGGGCTTCCATTATTTTTCAGGCTTCAGTCTAATGGATTCCAAGTCACACTATTTTTCATGATATTCTGCTTAACTCTTTCAACCCACAGCTCCGCTAGCCACCATACTAAATTTGCTTTCACTTCTGTGACCTCAACATTCTCATGTTTTAAAAGCTTTACGAATGTTACAATTCAATAACGGAAAAAATCTTGTTTTCCCTAAAAGCACTGGAATCTCTCCTTGAGCTAAGAAAGATCTGTCAATGCTGTAAAATGTAAAGCTAATCTCATGGCTAAAGAATGGACTCTTTGTTTTCAGGCCTTTCACTATCTTCCTGCATCAGAAGTCCATTTCTGGAATATAAATAATCATCAAAAACAATGAATTTGTGGGATAAACAACTAGATTTAGAATCTTAATGTTGTGTGGTTTTACAATCTAATACATTGAGCCAAAGCTAATGAAAAAGTCTCAAGAGAAATTCTTACTGCATGTAATCACAGCTACTTTCTTCTCTTACCAGTGTATCAGAGACTTCCATAAAATATTTAAATTAACGTGTTGCATTAGGTAACTTTCAATAAAAGGGAGTGAGTATTTTTGGCTTCGAGCACTACACTAAAACCCTACTTTAAGTAATCCTAGTTTGTATCTGAAAACGTGTATCTGACCTGCTCCCTAAACTTGAATCCTAATTCCTAAAAAGGATGATCAGATTTTGCATGGAAGCTGGAAGTAAGGAACCTGGTAACAGACGGCTACTGCTCTACCTGTCTGGGCAGGGGAGCAGACGAAAGCAGATACACAAGTTTCAAGGACTTACAGAATAAGTAATGCGATGATTATCCGACATGGGGGGCGGGGGAGCGAGACAGAAAACAACGGGGGCTTCCACTACTGGCCGTGTCTCTCTGACCCACTGCTCCTTTCCTGCCTTCAGGAATAGATTGGGCCTGCCAGCTTTTCAAAAAGTCAAACAGTTGGAGAAAATTACGGTGGAAAGGAGAGAAGATTTTGATTTTGGTTTTGTTTTCCAAGACACCACCCCACAGAATGCCACAGAAGACCCTGGGCGCGAGATGGGCTGGGCTCAGGGGGCAAGCGACGCGGCAGCACCTCTAGGGTCTCGAGCATCTCCGGAGGGCTTCTTTTTTCTAACTTCTCGCACCCCCTTTCCCCTCCCGCCCCAGAACTGGCGGCAAATCTCCTTCGAGAAGCCGGGCGCCGGCCCCACCCTGCGAAAGGGGACTCACCTGCGCGCTTTGCCGCTGCAGGAAGGAAGGAAGGAGAGAGGCCCGGGGCGGCCCGACGGGGCTACGAGGGAATCGGGGTGCCGCGAGGACCGAGGTCTCGGGAAGACGCAGCGGCGGCGGCCGGGGAAGGCGGGGGTCGGGCCGCCGGGGTCCGCCGGCAGACTAGGGTGCGGCGCTGGCCGCCCGCAGTCTCACTGCCACGCCCTCGACGCCGGCAGGAGCAGCCGCGTC